GGTCAGAATAGCATTTTCATTTGAAATTTTGTTAAGTCCTTAATAGATTTTGGCCCATACTCAACAAATTTTCTAGATCCGCCCATGTTTCTCGAGTTGGTAATTGACAACATGTTCAGCGTTTCACCACCATCAACCTAGAACTGACCCCCCAACAATGAGTGTCGGCAAGCGGCGTGCGAGTTCAACGAGCAACAAGTGACCAACGTGACGGAGTGTGCGAGAACTCGACCTAGCGAAAAACCATGGCAAGTTCCATGGGTCCTTGACCCATGGCTTGGTCAGGCCCGAGATCGAGTCGCACTAATAGTTCTGGGTGTGTCCCATCTCGTCTCAGTGGGTCTGGTCAATTCCTAGCTAATATGCGACCAATTTCTCGCGAATATTCGACCCGTTTAAATTTATTTTTGTCGTCCTTCGATAAAATCACTTTCTTGATAATGTTTGACAATTTTCCATTAAAGAGAAAAAAAACAAAAATTAAAATTAAAAAATAACAACAACAATAACAACATTCATCATCACTTAATAATTCAATAAACTGATCAAGAGTATTAAAGCCAATTCTCTCTTCAATTTACCCCGAATCGCCCCTCAGGAAAACCCTCGTTTCCGTCCGTCCCCTGCGACTCCTCACCTGCATGATCTCTGAACTTCCACGATGTCATACGATGCCTAGGCTAGCATCTGAATTGGCTTCGATCTGTCTTGGTGAGTCGTCGCTTCCTTTCCTGCGTGGTATATCCCCTTCTACGGGTGGACATGGAAGTGGCTTGCGGTCTAAAGGCTTGCCAACAGCTTCGTGGTGGCGAGCGTCGATTGTTGTCTTGAGGCGTTCAGGGCTGAGGTTGGTGCCTTGTTTTTCTCTTGTTCCGTCTTTCCTTGGTGTTAGACAGGTAAGTTCCTCCGGCGGGTGTGGCTGTCGTCTCTGGTTGGTTGGGCAACGATCATCAGTTAGGTTGGGGGGAGAGTTGGGTGCAGGACTCTAGGTGCTGATCCATTGGTGAACATTTGGGAGGATTTCTGGTCCGTGGGTTCAAGTCTAGTTAGTTGTAGAAGGAGTTTCTATATCTTATTGTTTCGGTCGTGGGTTTTCCCTTCTTGGGTGATTGCCTTGGGTGTTGGCTCGAGTTGTGGTGGTTTGGAGTGACTTATCGGCTGGTGGAGAGGGCCTTATTCTAGTTATTTGCTTTTGTGTTCTTATTCTCGCTTTTGGGAGTCTCTATTCTCCACTTGTGGCAGTCTCTATTCTCTACTTGTGAGACTTTTTTGTTTTTTAAGTGTTCTGGTTGGTTGTTGGGTTTGTGTTCTAGGCTACATTGGTGTAGACCTCCAACTAGATTTAGCTGGATAGCTAATTTATTCGGCTGGTTAGTTGTTTTCTAGTCTACAATTATGTTTTATTGATAAAGTCTATCCTTCCGAAAAAGAAAATAATAATTCAATAATATGAGACAAAATACATGATGAACTATAACGAAATGAACACAATAATTACTCTACAATGCATGTAATATATGTCACAAGTCAATCAGTAATTCTCGTATTTTAACTCAAACTTCATTACTACTGAAGTAGTAATTTTTTCGGATTATACTTCAGTACCCTTTTTCAGTGTGTAGAGATTTTTCTAATGAGATCTCATTGCAACTCGATTGTGATTCTACTATACATCATCATAAACATAATTTGGGAAGTGCTTTAACATAAAAATGAGAATATATGTATAAAAATACTACATTTCACAAAACATCAACAAGTTATTGAGAACAATTTCTCTCGCTGGAGACCTAATGGCATATCATTTACGCGCATTCATTAATTCGCAACATTGACAATAAGCACGCATACAACCTTGATGCTCCTCTTAAGTTAAATCATCAAACAAAAGCCCAATGCACATTTTACCATTTCTTGCTTTAGTATTTTCTGAGGGATGGTATTCTAATCTGTACCGACATTAGGGAAATTTTCATGGTGTTCCAAGTAAACAAGAATTGGTACATGGTGCAATGATGTAAGCTAACCGTAGATTAACAAAAGCCCAATGTACTCACAAGCCATTAGCAATCAGCATCCAAACAGCACTTTTTTTTTTTTTGCTTTTTGTTTTCTTCCGGGTAGCAAATAGCATTAACAATCAGCCTTTCTCAGTTGTTGGAATGTCATCCCTGCACAAAGGGAAACGAAACAAATATCAGTCATTAATCTGCCAGACAAAAAAATAAATAAATAAATAAATAAATAGAAACTTCGTATGAAACCATAAATGAACAGATAATGACTAATCATATGTGCAGTTAAGAAGAATCATAGATGAAACCAAATCTTGGTTTTTAACCTAGTCTTCTTCCTTTCTTTCTTATGGTATTATAATATCAAATTCTAGATGCATCATATGCCAGACATCGATATCGATAATAGGACGCCAAATAAATTCCATTCTTCCATTTGGATGAGCACCCAATTTCTCATATCTCACACACCTCTTAATATACAAGCCCAATCAGTGAACTGATCAAGAAAGAAAAGTAACAAACACACTTATCTCAGAGATTTAGATCAGTTATAGAAATCCAACATTTCTCAGAGTTAGCTACATAAACACATGAACCAGCAAACTAACCGACAATAGATGATAAAAAAACAAAATAGAAAGAAAGCGGAATAACAGAAGGAAAGAACTTTCTGTAATTCGAGACGTTATAGTTATTTATTCGCTCAGAACATCTATGCATAAAACCAGATAGTTGTCCTGAGTAAGATCAGACTATCTGCATCTCATGTCTCTTCATAATTGACATTTTGCAGATCACTCAAATAACCTTTATAACTTATCATAATTTCTGAATCACACTTCAGTTACTAATGCTAACTCAGAATACTAGTGAGGAATGATTTTCTAGTCTGTATTACTAACTAGTTCTACCGAAACACTCATGCTGCTTTAAGTAAAGAAGTTGGTACAGGATGCAAAGCTGTGAGCTATCAGTGACAGCACAACACTTGAAACCATTACATTAACAGAGACCATCCTGCAAGTAATATACTAGGAAACTTTTGCACGACTACACCAAAAAATAAATTCCCAGCATCAAATTAGCATTTTCATTTTTATTTAAGATTCACAACCAGCTTTCTGAAAGAAGAGAGGCACAGAAAACTAGGCATAGACAAGAACATAAGCACCACATGGATTTCAAAGAAATAAGTAGAATTCAGCTGAGAGGTCATCCTGCAAAATAAAAAAGGAGA